TGAAAAGAGGGAAGTGGAGGGAAGAAGGGAGGGGGAGGGAGAAAGGAGAATGCTGTGCTCAGATGAACAACAGTTCATGGAAAAAAACTGGTACTATGCTTGTAAAATACCCAAAACCTACCTACCTTATTGTCCAGTTTTCTGGCTTCCATTTCAAACAAGACCACTCTGTTATCCTTGATTTCTTCTGCTGAAATCTACAAGTAGATAAGGTAAGTGAAAGAAAATGAAGTACTTTATGAATTAAGCACTTTCTTTTTATTTCACTTGCAGTACAGGGGATTGAATCCAGATCGCAGCACAAGTCAGGCAACCATCTTACCAAATGATAAATGTCTTTTTTTAAATGTGGTTCCTTAGTAAGCTGTTTCAGGTGTGCATAGCAGGGGTGAGGTATGCAGATCTTATTATACAATGTATTTGTAAACATACTTTCCCTGTGGATATGATCAAGAATGTTCAAGAGTAAAAATAATGACCAGGAAAGAAAGTGTTTCTCTAAATATTACTACTCCATAGAAAAATCAAAGTACCAGAAGACCGAAGGATATCCTTTATACAAAACCAGCTAAAATTCTGCACATCTCGAGGGAAGAATAAATAAATCCTATGTAGAGAACTGTAAACTGGAATATGAGCCCAGCGCTTTTCAGCCAGTGTAACTAGAAGACTCACTCTACCCTAAGTCAAATCCTAGGCTATCTCAACTATCTTTGCTTTTAGCCTCCCTTATAGCAAAGGCTCAAAAACAGAAAAAAGAAAGGGTTAAGGCTCAAAACTGCTCCTCTCGGTGGAAATCCTTAGTAAAAGGCAAAAGACTTATATGATCTGAAGAGAAGCCAATGTCTTAACTACTAACAAATAGTTAAGTTCTCTGTAGCACAAAAGTCAACTATCCCAACAGTCTAAATATTCTTTTGCTTCTGGAAATCTAAGATAGAGACAAAGAGCTGCTAAGAAAAATGTATGTTGCCGGGCGGTGGTGGCACACGCCTTTAATCCCAGCACTCAGGAGGCAGAGCCAGGCGGATCTCTGTGAGTTCGAGGCCAGCTTGGCTACCAAGTGAGTTCCAGGAAAGGCGCAAAGCTACATAGAGAAACCCTGTCTCGAAAAAACCAAAAAAAAAAAAAAGAAAATGTATGTGACAATTATAATTACCAGGCTTCCATGTCACAGAAAACTAGTTAGAATACTGTCATTCCAGACGGAAACACTACAAGATAAGGTATTCAAAAGCTTGTTATCCGATAACTGGAAATCTAAAATACAGTAAAGTATATACATGCACTTGGTCAGAGCTAGTAATGAGCAATGCAAAATCTAGATATGAGGACATTTAACAGAAGCAATGACAGGAAGCCACAGGAAAGCGTTTTGGTGTTATTTGTTTTATATTTTTAAGACAGAGCCTCACTACTTAGCTCTGGCTAGTCAGGAACTCAATGCATAGACCAGGATGACCTTGAATTTTGGGGGATTCTACTGCATCAGGCTTCTGACTATTAGGATAACAGGAATGTACCACCATGCCTGCTAAGAGTTTATAAGTTCAATGGCCACCTTATAAAATCCATTTAGAATAAAATCCATTGTAGGAAGTTTGTGTCATGGTAAGAGGACCATGTCTCCTTTGCAGAGAGCCCAACTGATTCATTCAGTTTACTAAGCCTTTCCTCTCTAATGTACAAAAAGACACATTCATGGAAGAGGTGCACCTGACCTCGATGGACAACTTAAAAAAACTGGAAGAAGGAATTCCTACAATTCATTTTTTCTCTTCTGTTAGCAAGACAGTGTCCATTTCTGATGACTATTAGGCCAGGGTGAATGGAATGCAATGTTCAAGATCAACAGATCAGGCATGGCTATAGATTATTTGCTTGTTACATACCATCTTATTAGACTTAATAGACTATCTCTTGAAGCAAAAGTTGATATTATCTTTACCGTAATACTCCCTTTCCCTGCAGGTCTGCCATTTCTGAGCACCAGTGGTCGAGTTAACTTCTTACTGGAAACAATCTGTCAAAAGCAGAAAGTAATGTTTCATCATGTGAGCTGCTGAACTGCATACTTAAAAAAAAAAGTTGAATATAAATTTCATTTAAAGTCATTAGAAAGAGTGACATTAAAACCACACCCCTTAAAGACATTTAAAACGTATCTCCACATTTAAAACCCATTTGGAAAGATTTCAAAGAACTTCACTCTGGCAGCTATTATCTCCCTACCCATTAGGTTGTTCACTAAGAATGGGGGAAAAGTCCAGATTTTAATCTCCGACACAAAGTGCTGGGCTGAAAACCCCCTGAAGGTAAAGGCGGGCCTCTGAATACTCAATAAATGTGATTCAATCTCCCAACTGGCACAGAACTTTGATATGTAGCTTCCAGAAAAGCTCACATTGCTTAAAATGATATAGTATGTCTGGCTCTTTGAAACTGTCTCTCAAATTCATTAGAATTTTGGCTACATTGTGATTTTTTTATTCTGCAGTTGATAAAAATGCTTCTAATTATTTTCTAAACTACTACCCAGGACCAACGCAACTGATCAGTTCCACACTGCCCTTGAGACATGAGAACTAACTAGTGGGGCTGCCAAGTGATTCCAAACCCGGAAAATAAACCAGAAAAGCCGCTCTGAAGAACAACTTGAACTCAACTGAAAATAAAAATGACTCTAATTTCCCTGTGTTTTTCTCAATTTATATAAATGATGATGACCTTTCTAAGCAAATCAGAGTTAGGAGCAGAAGAACAAACCCCTACCTAACCTGAACATTCTCATCATATACTAAGACGACAGAAAAATAAGACACCTAAAGAACAAAATGACAGACAGACAGTGCCAGCTCAGGAGAGGATGCTAAGGAGTCTAAGGGGTCAGAGAAGGTTTACGGGGAAGAGAGACTTAAATGACACACTTAACAACATGGGAAGGAGAGAACAGGGGAAAGAGCAGGAACGAAATTCGAGTTATGAAGTAGCAACCAAGTAATTTTATGGTGGCAGGTCACCACAACTTGAGGAACTGTATCAAAGGGTTGCAGCATTAGAAAGGTTGAGAACCACTGCCCTAGAGTCTCACTGCAGTCAGCCTGGAAGGTACACAAACCTAATGCAACTAATATCCAAAAGGTCTATTACAGACTTACCAACTTTAAAAAGTACACTAACAACCTGTGGTGGGTTAAATAAGAATGGCCCTCCACAGGCTCCTATATTTGAAAGGTTGGTCATTGGGGAGCAGCACTACTTGACAGGGATTAGGAGGATGGCCTTGTTGAAACAGCTATGCTCTCGTTGGAAGAAGTGTGTCACTGGGGGTGAGCTGTGGGGTTTCAAATGCTCAAGTCAGGCCCAGTCTCTCTCCCTGTGGCCTGTGGATCCTGATGTAGAACTCTCAGCTACCTCTCCAGCACCATGTCTTCCTGCCTTCTGCCATGCTTCCTATCATGATGATAATTGACTAAACCTCTGAACTGTAAGCCAGTCCCAATGAAATACTTTCCTTTATAAGAGTTGTTGTGATCATGGAGTCTCTCCACAGCAATAGAACACCGATTAAGACACAATGTTTATCAAAAGCACTCAACTCTTTGGTTTAAAATCTACATAAAATAGCTGGGTGTCATGACACACACCTGTAATCACAACACTCTGGAGGCAGAGGCTGGAGGGTTACCATAAGTTTAAGTCCAAACTAGGTTACATAGTAAGTATGAGGCCAACCTCTGTTATGTAGTAAGATTTTTATCTCAAAAATAAATAAATAATCAAATAAACAAACAGAACAACTATCCAGACAAAACTAAAGGTTACAAAAACTAAACACTTACTTGTCCAAGAGTGACTTCACATTCTCCTAAGAAGTCATCATCACTCAGCTCGATAGTTTTGTTGTCGATGTCAAAAATTCCAAATTTCAATTTCTGAACCACTTCAAAGTAGTAATCAATAATAAATGTCTTAGAAAATTTGGGACTCAAAGAATTCTTAATCCTTTCTGTCCGTTCAACCTATACTCACCCCAAAAAACACAAGAAAAAAATTTTCAGATCCAAGAAGTACTTAGATTTTTAGCATCTTTATGTACTAATTACAGTTATACATAAGCATGAAGATAAAAGGAAATTTCTCTTCTTAAAATGTGTGTATGTGTCGGGGCATACAGGTAGTATGACATGTATGAGGTCAGAGGACAGCTGGCAGAGGTCAGCTGAAAACTGAGAAGAGTCAGTTCTCTCCTACCATGTGGCTTCTGGGGCTCAAACACAAACTGTCTTGTTTAGCCGTCTTGCCATTGAGCCATATCACTGGCCTAGTTACCACTTACATTTTGAAAATTTCTCTATAAACATGAGGAATGGGTGGGTGTCTCCCTGCACGGACATCTGTGCAACACATGGGTGCAGTGCCTGCAAAGGCCAGAAGGGGCTGTCAGGTCCCCAGGAATGGGAGTTACAGCTAACTAAGCTACCAAGTGGGTGCTAGGAATAGATCCCAGGTCATCTAGAAGATCAGCCAGGGTTCTTGATCTCTAAGCTATCTCCTCAGTCCTATAGTATTACTTTTCACATTTTAAAATGAACTCAACATTGTAAAAAGGAAATGTGGACTGCTTTTCACCAAAAGCATACAATATTACCTCATACCACTGCTGACCACTCGTGCTCAAAAACAGCACACATAAAGGGTCCGACTTCGATGTCACATCTTTATCCAAAAGGTTGTCACAGGAAACATTTAGTTCCACCTTCGTGACACACTGGGCAGCCATGTCTTGAGCTGTGGGAGAACCAATGAGAAACGTTATCTTTAAGAAGCACACTCACTCTTGATGGAGATAGCTGAATTACTAACACAAGTCTTCAGCAAGGACTTACTGAGCAGCTCTGCTACAGGGACTGAAATTCGAGCCTCCAGAGGATGGGGGGTTTAGTAGCTCTTGGTCCAGTGATACTTTATCCTTTCACTGAATAAAACCTGCTTATGATCTAGCAGTAAAATGTACCTTTCAAGATAGCAATTAATATGCATTAATACTCTGCTTACCTTATATATTAAAAAATATATTGGTGAACTGTCCTGTTCTGTTTAGAGCTGACTCTGATAGCAAGCTCTCAAAGTCAAGCATGTTTATCAAGTGTCCCCTGAGACCCCCTCCTGGGACAGGCTGACCCCTAACCCTAGTGACAGGGAGAAAGGAGAAAAGTAAATGCCTAAGGGTATTAAAAACATCCCATCCTTACAAACAAGGCAAACCTTTACCAACAGAGTCACTGTGTTTATCCTATGATATAAAAAACGTAGGTGAGGATGAGAAGCCCAATGTCATACATGCAGATGTTCTTCCTGGACTTTCAACTGGAAAGGCCCCCATGACAGGCTCTGCAGAGCCTCACTATTTATTCCCGATAGATGCTGACTGATGATGTTTTGCCATTTGTCTGTTTCTTCTATCTATGTGGTTTAAAGTGCAACTTGGGCATCATCTCTGGATGATTCCAGCGAGAATGCTCCACAAGCAGCATTCAGCAAATTAGAGTGTGCGGCTTGCCATGGCTTGCCAAGAAATACCAGTTAGTCTAACTTCCACAGCTTCAACCACCAAACAAAATGCATTAGCAAGACTAGGGGTGGGGCAGAGCACATGACGGGTGCTGGCCTTGAGGAAGCATTCACATGTGCTTGCTGGCACATGCCTTCAATTCCAGCACTTGGTAGACAAAGGCAGGCAGATCTCTAAATTCAAGGCCAGCCTGAGTTCCAGGACAGCCAGGGCTATATGTAGAGACCCTGTCTTGAAAAAATCCAGAAAAAGGGAGGGTAGGAAAGCCTTGAGTACTGATAGTGAAGTGCTTTCCTCCACAGTATCACCAGAGGAATTGGGTACTACACCTCTGCACTGGATGTCAACAGAGCCAGCTGTGTAGCATGAATTAGGAGTTCATGGTGGCAATGCAGGTTCTGAGCTACAAAGACACTTCCTCCCAACATCCTTTGCATTTGGAGTGCTCAGTGCTCTCTACTTTTGGAATTTAGCTGAGCTACTAGTCCAACAGGAATAAGTCTACTCAGCATCCTGTTTAATATTTAAAATGGCAGTAGCTTTTATGTGCTGTATAAAATGCCTCATCAAGCACAAGAAAAAAGAAGGGTAAGATCCTTTGACAAGTCCAAAACACTCACATGAATGTTCATGTAAATGTGTGTATGTGTGTGTCAGTAAGAATACATGTGGAGGTCAAAGATCAATGGTAAGTGTCTCCCTCAACTGCTTACTTTCATTTTAGAAACACTGAACCTAGAGTTCAGTTTGGCTAGGCTGGACAATCAATAAGTGCCAGGGTTCTGTCTGTCTTTGCTAGTCCCCTTCCCCCAACCCCCTTCCCCAACAGACATTTTTTTACATGGGTGATCCAAACTTAGGTTCACATGCTTCTTAAGAAGAAAGTACTTAGGGCTGGGGATTTAGCTCAGCGGTAGAGTGCCTGCCTAGCAAGTGCAAGGCCCTGGGTTCGATCCTCAGCTCAAAAAAAAAAAAAAGAAGCAAGTACTTGATTGTACTGACTAAGTAAGAGCCATCCTTCCAGTCCCACTCTTTACTTTCTATAAGTACCAACAACCTTCAACACAAGTTAAAAATCAACACTAATGCCTGTTCACCTGAGAACTATTTCTTAAGGAATGACAGTTCCCCCAAATCTCCAATTTGCTTCCTATCTTCTCTGTCCAGAGATAATACAATAAAATTAAAACTACTGCAACATCTACAAAATTGCACTTAGCTCTGTCAGTTGGGTTTTGTTTGGTTTTCTGTCATTTTAACAGGTATCAGAATAGTTGAGTACTGTAGTATTAATGGTACAAACAAAGGATGTAAGGGCAAGGAAAAGCTACAGAAGCTGCTGGAGGACAGTTGACAGCATGGGGCAGACTTATCTGAACAGAAGCGGCAGGTAACACAAACACAGGAAAGAGCAGGACACAAGAAGGCAGAGGGGACACCAAAGTATGTGATATAAAAATGAACTCACTGGCGAAAAACAAACCTGACAGGAGACTGGACAAGTGTAGAGGGCCCAACAGACCAGAATGCTAGATGGATGGATCACAAGTTTGTACATACAACATTAGGAAAGACTTCCATCACGTTGTTAACGTAGTAACAGTTTCTTTTCACCCTTATCTTAGTGTGTGTGTGTGTGTGTGTGTGTGTGTGTGTGTGTGTGTGTGTGTGTGTGTGTTCTTGAAAATAAAACACAAGAGGCAAGAAAAAAAGGTAGGAAAAGAAAAAAAAACAGTGAAACATAAAAACAGTGAATTATAGGATATGTACATCATGGAAGCCTGATGTTTTAGCAATGGGACCTTGCCCTAAATCCATTAACTAGTTCATCTCTTCCTCCTCCCACCTGAGAAGCCAAGCATAAACTAAGGGTGTTATCTTAAGGCCTTCATACACATCTGCTCATGTTTACCCTAAGTCTCTCAACACTCAGGTAGCTAGTTGGACCACAGTGCTCTGTAAACCTTCGGCCCTCACCTGTGCCCTTTTTATGTCTATTATATTCAGTCCTGAAGACCCAGTACCCACTGTTCATGACCACATACCACATGCTCTGGAATCTCATTCTGTGATTACTATGTGACTAAGGCTAGATCCTTATCTGTTTCCCCATCTATAATGTAAATAATTGTCCCTATCTCAAGGGGTTGTTCTGAGGACTGAAAGAGTTACTATATTTAAAAAGTATACAAATGTTTACTATTATTATTTTAGCACTGTTTGCCTCTATGCACAATGTAATCCTTTCTAATCTCACATTTCCTATATTTAATTGTTAAATTCCATGATGATTTTCCTGATTATGCCAAAACATATTAATTGCATCCCCACCCCGCCCCCAAACTCCTGCAGCTCTCATAGTAACAGATTGGTACAGTATTGGAAAACAATATCAAATTTTGAAAGTTGGGTGTGATAGTACACCTCTATCTATATCCATAGTGTTCAGGAGGCTAAGAAAGGCAGATCACATACAGGTCAGTCTAGGCTACATCAAGATACCCTGTTTAAAAACAATATGAAGGAATGCACATCTGAGATAAATTTAGCACTTAGATCCATCTGTGTAACCACATGGAAATAACTTTAAACTTCCTAAGCCTAGATTTCCACATAGAAATAAACTAAATCTGGAATGTACAAAGCATATTGCTTTTCATCTCAGACACAGAATCTGTGAAAAAAAAGTTTTATCATGTCTTTTCTTTTGCATAAGGTAGTTTTAGAGTCTTGTAAGGTACATGTCCACAGTACCCTGTTACAAACAGAATGAGCATGATTGATAAAGAACATTGTTAAAGATCAGCACAGAAAATTCTCTACCACCAACCAAACAAGTTTACATTTCTAAGATGGGGAGAACTCAACTAAGGATACAAATATTTATGTACAAAGTGATTCTCAACAGAGGCACAACGTATCAGTAGAGCACTGTTTTTCTCTCCGGAATATGCTCAAACAAAAGCTACACAAACAACATGCTGGCATGGCAAATTATTTAAGGACTTGCTGACAGTTGCCATTACTACACTGTGGCCAGGGAGCAAATTCCCTCCAGTGCAGCACCTCCATCGCCCCAAACAAGCCAGACTGCCATCTCTCTGTGCTATTCACCCATTTATCTCCAGAAACCCATTTCACTGAATGGCAAATGCAAGAAATTAAATAAACATTTGGGTCTAGAACTTTGCCAATATGAACATTCATATAAATACTCTCGGCTGGCGTGCTTTTCAGTAACTATTGAGTACAAGATATGCAAAGAAAACAGTGTAATCCATGCATACAGTGTAATGGGAGAAGATAAACCAATGTTCTGCATTCTTTGAGGATAGAAAATAGGTCATTTTTCTGAAAAAAAAAAAAAAATGACCAATCAGAAGAATATGTGAGCAACTAAAGAAGACTGTTTTCTCCCTACACAGGATCATACAGAGGATACCAAAGGAAACACTTAAGATGAGGTGCTTGCACCGGACAGTGGTGATGCATGCTTTTAATCCCAGCAGAGCCAGGTCAATCCCTGTGAGTTTGAGGCAAGTCTGGTCTACAGAGTGAGTGAGTTCCAGGACAGGCACCAAAGCTACACAGAGAAACCCTGTCTCAAAAAACAAAACAAAACAAAACAAAACAAAAAAAAAAGATGAGGTGCTTGGCTAACACAATCTGTAAGCATACTGAACAGAATTCATTCTCCCCAAATTTTACCTTCTAGAGCAACATAACAGACTATACAAATGAAGTGAAAATTAAGACATGAAGTGGAGTCTGAGGTGAATTTGAAGTGCATGGCCACTGCCATGCCCCGCTGAGGGACTCCTGTTTGTCAATGTTTCACAATAAACAATTTAAAGGAGGAAAGATTTATTTTATGTAATTTTTTCCACTTGCCAATCAGTCATAATGCATTTCTAGGTAAAAAGAGACTGCTTTCAGAGTCAATTTCCAGAAGGTGGGTGGGCAGGAGTGACAGGAAATAAGTCTCCTATCAGACCAAAATAAACAAAATAATGGTTTGGGTTCCTGGTCCCTCAGGCCTGTCCCTTTGGTCTTGGGATGAGACACAACATCACAGTGGAAGCATACATGGTGCGGAGGGCTGGTGACCTCAGGGTGGACAGGAAGCGAGAGACTAATGCCTATGCAATCTACTCCTTCCTCCTCTTTCACTACACCTGGGTCCCAAGTCCCTGGGCACTGCCATCTTCTCCTTTCA